GTTTCTATTCTCCGCACCAAGCTACGAACTCTTCAAAGAGACAAATGAATTCAATCACTCGACAAACGTTCTACCGAAAACGGTTACAACATCACTCCTCTTTCTGTCATTGTCTATTTTGGGTCCAGTCCCTGATGAGGCCGACTACGATCCCGGCGAAACGTTTGAGAATGTAACAAGTCTACTATCAAATGCTGGGAATCATGACAACTACTATGGCAGACGGCTTCGGACTGGTGCGTTCTAATAAGTCGCATGGCAACAAGACCAAGTTGAGACAACGATGTCAACCCACGTACTTTTTAGACTTGCTCAAAACCCAAAAGCGATTCTAGCCCCGTTGGCGACTATTTATAAACACGTCACAGCAACGGGTGCCAGTGGATAACAATACGATTATCACACCTTCTTTTGATAGGTCATAGTTGTGACAATAATCAACTTACAGACCTTACACCAAATGTGTTTTTATCCAAAATCCCATCTTTTCGCCTCAAATGACCGAGGGCTCATTGAGGTTTGTGAAACTTGTGAATGGATTGGTGCAAGTTACCAAGTCGACAATGATATGTTTTTCCAATCTGTCCAGAATTTCTCAATTACAATCCCCACTCCGACCTCTACTTTTGACGAAACGAACACTGTTTTCTGACCTCTCTCTCTCTCCTTCTCCTCTTTGATCAATGCTCTCCTTTGGAGGCCAACAGTTTTCTCGACCAGCCACTCCCACTTAAGCCGATTAGCTTTACAGGCAGACTCAATTATGCAAGATCCGAAAGCGCCTATCCCAAACTGCCAACTCCGTGGCAAGCATACACAGATGTGCAAGCATCGCTCTCTAGGCAGTAGCGTCTGCCCATCTTTCTCTTTCACTTTTTCGGCTAGCTGGTATACTTTCCTCTTCAGGCTCTCATACTCACCGACTATTGTCGCACGTTCGGTAAATTTGACACTGTTTTGTGCACCTAGACGCCGAGAGAAGAAAGAAGTGATACAGAAAAAGTGGGCAAAACGAGAGCAAGCGGTCTTGGTTGCTAGGACGGCGCTAAGATGTTGCTCGCCAACTTCTCCGTCTGCCCGCCCATGTGCAGAGACGTGCTTACCTGTTTGCCTGTGACTGTTTTTCTGGGCGAAATGAAAGTGGGGATTACGAAACAAGCCCGCGAGGTAGAGATGGGACTCAAAGGAGTGGGATAAGGCGAGACAGCTGACTTTGGGCCAACTCAAGTTGCTAGACGGTAATTGAGTTACCAAATCCTTAAACTCCAAATCGCCTTCTATTGCCATGCTTGGCAAAGTTTGTCCCCCAGCCTCCGAAGCAACGGCTGTAGCCCGCCCTCGGACGCATCCTCTCGAGACCGCTCATTGCCAAACTGCTCGGTCCACTTTGGCATCGACTCAATTTGCTTACTTCAGAGCTACGCCTTCGCCGTTTGGCCTTTACCAATTCCCCAGACTATTTATGCGAGCTGCCTGAAGACAGGCCAACAATCGAGGGGATGAGGGGATGGACGAGTCTACTGTCCATCTCTCCATCAGCCAGCGTCTTGGCCACCTTTTTTCCCCGGTTACCGACTCGCAGAGATCTTGCTTGTCCTGGCCGATGCCTCGAGCGGCAGATGAGTGAAGTCGTCAAATCGGAATGTCACCTGAACAAAGTGGGTGTTGTTGTCGGGTGGAGGCGGCCAATTGCATCGAGTGAACACAAACAGGCTGAGACGGAAACGCACTGACAATGCCGAATAAAGTGTTAATAAGGCTTGACTTAATGATACCGGATTAGCTGAGGACCACAAAGTCAACTCAATTAGCCGGAAGGTACTGTCTCTAGGGCATGAGGCAGTCTCTTCCGCCACCAAGAGATGGTCAACTAGCTAACTGGCCAATCTGGTCGAAAAAATGCCGCTTTAATCCCAGCAAGAACGTTTTTTCCTGTAATAAGCATTAAAATAGAAATAATGAGCCAGCCAAGCAAACTTATGTACGGCTAATGTAGATAGAAGCGGTCATTAGCAATGAAAAGGCTCCTCGATACAAGAGCATCTGCCAGTACTACTTGCATCAGAATTCAGTAGGGAGACTTCTTCTATTGGCAACGTTGAGGGGCTTGGTGTTTAGGCTCTCGGCCGGCCAATCAGACGTCTTGGTCGAAGTAATATTTTTAGTCAGAGTCCTTTTCATCTTGCGCGTTAACTAGTTATATTGGCTCTACCAACTCCTGATTATAAGCTTTAAGAATATTATTATTATTATTATTAATTACACGTATTATAATATAATATAATATATGTTCTATATATTATATAATATAAGGTGTCCTTTAAATAATATTTCGCGTAATTTAAATAGTGTGATATGTCTAATGCTTAAAATGAGTATAATATGATATAATATAATTAATTTTATTTAATTTATCATATAATAGGATACCCTTGAGTAAAGTAATATATTTCCATTAGGTTTTCATAAGTAGTTTGTGGAATTAATAAAGGTAAATAATTATCATAATATGGTGTTTTTACTGTATTACATGTATATATTAATATAATATAATAATACAACCATAATATTACAAAAATTGTTTGGTTTATTATATATATGATATAATTTATAATATTAAAAATAATATAAAGAAATAATATACCATAATTATCAGAATAAGCCAATATAATAATATTTCGAATAGTTATAATAATATAATATGATATAATATAGAATATTATATTATACCCTCAAGTGTTGGGCCATCTTTAGTTAGCTCGCATAATTAGTTTAAGGAATTTATAAAGGCCAATTAATATTATTACTATATTATTTATAGATTAAATACAATATAATATGATATAAGGAAATAATGTTTACTGTTATCTTAAGATTACAATACTTCCAATAATTCTATTTAGCATAACTTAGAGCCTACTTAGTTCTGTAGATAAAGTCAAAGTAATACATTTCATATGCTTAAATAATTCAGTTTTAAAAAATTGTACTTGTACAAATCGACTCTATCCTCTGTTGATTATAAGCATTAGAAGTATTAGAAGTATTAGATTGTTTAGATTATTCTAACTATTATATTCTTACATTATACTGTATATATATATATTTATATATTTATATATTTATATATTTATATATATAAATTCCTTTGTCTAATTATAAGAACTGACTTAAACAAGGCAACACTAGAGAATAGTAAATTATTGAATATGATGTACAATAAAATATTTTATATTACATTAGATTCTATATATAGCATATTTAATATAATATATTAGATAATATTAATTCGCATGCCTTATATAATGTACTACTCACAATGCATGTATTCAGTAGAGAATAGAGCTCAATTAACTCTGCTGGCTACTAAAAGGGTATTTATAAAAAAATTGTATTTAGACAAAGACACATCATTGCTCGGCTGCATAGCATCCAGTAAGGATTCTGTTGTTTAAGCATTATGCAGCACTCGATACTTGATAGATTCTTTCGAGGAGTGCATACATATCTAAATACATTATAATAATTAATATAATCTATAATTTAATATATATTTTTATATATGATATATTATAGTATAATATAAGATACTATCATATCATATTAGTATTATTATTACGCTTTTTTAGTATCATTAATGTAGTTTTTTATTTAGTCTCTAAACTTGCAGTATTATTACACTTAAGTTATTATATTCTGACTGTATCTTGCTCCAAACGCTGCCGTAAAAATGAGAATTCCATTTTACCTTACAAAATAATATTCATCCAGCCATCAAAGAGCAGTGAGCATTTTGTAATGCTTCGTTTATAATCATACATAATAGATATTTTTCTTTGAAATTACATGTGTGCTTGAGGCTTGCAAGTGACATGATATACTAAGCAGTTTCGATTAGCATGGGTTAAAACCATAATTATCCTCATTTTTCACTGAAAATGCAGAAAAGAGGTTACCAATTTTTTTAAATAGTCACTTTATCCAGATTTTAAATGGCTCCTCCATTATAATATTACATGCATGCTAAATTAGCTCCTCCAAATGTCTTTGTGAACATCTCGTGTCACGTTTAGGCAATTACGAAATCAGATGAAAGTCCTAAAAATGACCTCCTTGTATCCTGAATTGAAGGGCTCAAATAAATAATATTGAATATTTGAAGTTTTTTTATTTGTTATAAAACAACTGACCTCATTCAGATACTCCATACATTTCATTTGGCTAGGGGTGAAGAAATACGGTTGCTCTCTTGTGATCACGCCGAATCAAATATAAGTTTTGTTGATGCCAGTTACATTGCAGCGATCTTGTTGGATAATATTTTTATCAGACAGACATAATGATCGTCTTGACTCTGTTTACATTTCGTTAGCTTTTTCGAGAATTAGAATCTAGCCTAGCCTTGCCGAGAGGCGG